ACAAAATGACCCATATGTATCACTGTGGCAACAAGCTACGGAAAAATCTTGGAAAGAGCTTGTGGAAAATCTCCGTACCCCCCTTTTCCCTGTGAAAAATTCCGTACTTTTGTAGGGAATTGATTCAAAAAAATTATAGTACGTGGGTACGGAAAAAGTACGGAACGTCCGTACTTGTTCCATATGAACAGGGAAGTTCCGTATAGTTGGCATCTCTGCAAAGTCAAGTGTGTACCAGGCATGCACTTCCTGGTGCATGCCTGGCAGGCACACACTTCTTTTCTGCATGCCTGGCAGGCACACACTTCCTGGTGCATGCCTCAGGCACACACTTGCCGTCGCTTATGCATGCATACAAGCAAGTTGCCTGAGGCATGCACTAGGAAGTGCGTGCCTGCCAGGCATGCAGAAAAGAAGTGTGTGCCTGCCAGGCATGCACCAGGAAGTGTGTGCTTGGAGGCATGCACTTAAGTTTGCAGAGCAAGTACGGACGGTCCAGGAAAAATTCGGGCAAATTATTGACCAGACATGTTCCGTACCGTCACGAGGGTAATTTGGGACACTTTTTCACGTTTTTTGAACGCCAGAGGCAAGATTCTCAACCCAGACCAATGGATGCTAACTATGTTAAAGTTGGCCTTTCCCCATGATTTCATGCTTGTCTGGTTCATTTGCCTCGATTTTTGTCTCCCAGGTCTTGAAAGAGTGTCCAAGTTACCCATGACCGGGGTAACTTGGGACAGTAGATAATTACCTACATTCCCATGCATCTATTGATGTTAACGGATGTAATAAATTTAAGTCACAACATGTGGACCAAGAATAGAGTACTCCAAAGAAGCTCTGGCCCGGAAGAAGAAGACCAAACGGAAGTAAGAAATTGCAGTTCCTATGAGAAATATACGCTGCGCATGAGGGTCCGCAGCGTATATTTCTCATAGGAACTGCAATTTCTTACTTCCGTTTTTGTTCTTCTTCTTCCGGGCCAGAGCTTCTTTGGAGTACTCTATTCAGGCCTAGGAACTATTGTAGGACCGATATTGGACTATATCTAGGGCTCTACGTGCAACTCTCTTTTCTACTGGTATTATCCAAGCATTTTCTGAAAATTTCAAAACATGGATTACCAGAAGACAAAACTGCAAAGAAAGGCATCTCTTTCCATCATCAGCGTAAAATCCGAAGTTAAAGTTATGTCAGGGACGAGTCAGGCAACTCCTAGAAGGCTAGGACTGCTGGAAACATGGGGAAACAGACTGCCCAAGTTACCCCGTAAATTTTCGATTTTTGATAAATTGAAGCCAGGATCGAAGATGGAAAAACTATAATCAACGCCCTTTTGCGAACGTTATTGTCTGTGTATGATCTAACAACCAAGAGAGACTAATCGGCCAAATCTGTATTTCACTCCTTGCACTTGGGCCAACTTGTCAATGATTGAAATATTTTGTCAAAAACCCCTTTAAATTAAAAGTATTTTTCCCCCCCCCGGGTTTCGAAAAAAATACTTTAAAATTGTAAAGGGGTTAAAATTAAACCCCCAAACCCCTTCCTTTTTTCCCCACCCCTTTCCCGGCCGGCCCGGGGGCCCTTTTGGGGGGGGCCCCCCTTTGGGAAAAAAAAAACAAAAAAACCCCCTTTTTTTTTTTTGGCCAAAAAAACCCCGGGTTTTTTTTGAAAACCCGGCTAAAACCCTTTTTGTTTTAATTTGGAAAAAAAAACACCAAAAAAAAACCTTTAAAAATTTTAAAAGGGGTTTTTTGGTCCCAATTCCCCCTTTTGACGGTACTTTTTTCTTAAAAACTTTTTTCCCAACAGGTCCCAAATTATTCTCCGGCCCTTTTGTTTCCCCCTCCGGTGGGCCCTATTGGTTTTCCCGGGTGTTTTGGGGAAAGCAGGGGCGGTCCTCGGGGTTATTTTTGACCCTGGGGGTCCCCCCCAAAAAAATTAACAAAATTTTCCCATTTTTCGGAAAGTTTCTTGACCCCAATTATTTTTTCCGGGGGGGGGCTCCCCCCCCAAAAAAACCCCCCTTTTTTCAGCAAATTTACCTCCTCAAAAAACCATTTTTCGGTTTTTAAATTTTTTGGAAAAAATAAATTTGGCTAACTTAATTTGGTTTCCACAAAAATCCATTCCTAAAAATTTAAGCCCTTTGGGAATTGAAAAAAAAACAACAACAAACAAACAAAAAAAAACCCAAAAAATTTTTAAGGGTTTGGGTTAAAAAGCTTGGGGCCTTTTTTTCCTCAGAAATAACTTTTTTTTGATGGTATTGGGCCGATCCAAAATTCAGCATAAAAAACCGGCAGTGAAAAATGTTCTTTTAAAGGGACTCAATATAACATCTGCCATATTAAATTTTTTTGTTCCAGCACGCCAATCAGTAGGTCTCCAAACATATGTTAGGGACCTACTTAAGACCTATGATTGGCGTGCACCACGACTTTCCATATGCACATTCTCTACAGCATCATGTTTCTAAACTGTTGCATCAACATATGTTCCTTTTGATTTGTCAAGGACTCCAAGTTCAGGTCGCGTTTGATAAGATTACAGAACCTATCAGATGAGAAGGCGTCCGATCACGCGCAAGTAAAGATAGTCTCCAAGGTACAATGGCACCGCTGTACACTGCTACAGGATCACTGTGAAATTGGGCATTTTTGGACCTTCAGTACTTTCGCTTTGTCTCGGGGACACGAAAATGACATGAAGAAACGTAAATGCCAAATCGGTCAATTTACTTCTATTGCTTCGTGACATCCACATGACGGCAGAATTCTCCAATTTTGATCGTCAACACTGGTAATCCAAAGGCGTAAAAATTACGCCCTTTAGGGCACTAATACTCATTTACGCCCCTCAAGGGCGTAAATCATTCTATGCCCTGGGGAAGGGCGAGAATGATACAGGCATTTTAAACAAAAGTTTAGTGCCCTCCAACAGGCATTATCGATTCACGTCGCTCCAATTGCCTAAATCGTTACGCCCTTAAAAGGGCACACACTGTAAATGTCTTACGGGTGAAAGGCTGCGCCAACATGTTATGGTGAAAATTTTCTCCATAATACCAACGAAATTCGTCAAAATATCTATAAGGTACAACTGTCGGTATGTTACGAAGTCAGCTGCACCACCAAAATATGGAACATTTTCACCGTAATATGGAGAATCTTCACTGTGTACAGCAGTGAACAGCATTTGGAGTGTAGTTTTAATCCCTTTGTTTCATCAGTGAACAGTGATTGTATTTTGACGAACAGGATTTTGACCATTCCTTCATGTCACTTGACGTCCACATGATATTACTATTCTTTGCGTGGTACCCCGATGTCATTGCTCCGGCTGCCCGCCTAGTGGCGAGCGGAGCCCGAGAGAGGGGGGGGAGAGGAAGAGATTCTGGAGTGGGGACGGCTACGCGAGCCGTGACCTTGGGACGCTGTGCGGCTGCACGCCTGGGAGCCGCGGATGTTCTGCGAACACTGCGAGTGCCGTCGCCTCCTCACGTCCTCACAGACGCAAGCTTCGCCCTGCCAGGCAAAATGTCGCTGGGGGACGAGGCGGCCGGTCGAGCCAGGAGAGCGCCACACCCAGAGAAGACTGGAGCAAGGCAAAGTCCCAGCGTGACTCACGGGCTGGTCAGATAGGAAAGAGTGCACACAAGCCCTTGAGAGATACACTGGCTTGTATGTTGCCAACGGCCCTTGCTGCGAGACAACAGTCTCGCGTTATTCAAGAAAACGACAGACGGATAGAAAACCAGCCATC